GGAATGTTCAGCCACCACTTCTCTGACTCTGGCAAGACGGGGAGCACATTTGTGATCTCTCCATCCTCAGACATTGTCTTCAGAAAGGAGACATGAGGAAAAGCTGGTGGCACTCTGCCTTCTGGCACTCTGCCTTCTGGCACTCTGCCTTCAGCCGGATCCGGATTGTCCCTCAACCACTGAAAACAGCGGTCAATGTCATTGTCTTCTTTTCCAACTTGGAAAACCACCCTGCTTTCATATCTTTTCACAGGCCTCTGCCCAAGAGAGGGGGCGATCTTGAAAGAGCCCAAATCCATTCGCCCTCTGTGCAAAATCCAGATTTGGTGACTGATCGCTTGAAGCTGCCTGAATGCAGCAATCCTTTCCAGCTTCTTTCGCTTTGATATGTGAAGAAGCAGGTCGTCGTCAAACCGGTCTTGTGGAGAAACTTGTCCAGTCTTCATCACTTGCATGGGTGCAAACACTGCAGCAGAAATCTCATTCGCCCAAGCCACTGTCACAAGACAATCGCTGGTGCTGTGAGTAGACCCATCGGCGATGAAGTTGATTTGTCGACAGTGCTGCATAGCAGTGATAGCTCTCTCCTGGTACAACCGATTGGTTCGAAGCTGCCACTCGTCACAGCTGGACTCAGGCACACCTGAGCTGGCAAGTCAAAGAGCGATCGATTCGTTCACTTCAATCGTTGAAAAGTACAACTTGGACTTCAACACCATGCGCAAGCAACACCATTCTTCGGCCTCCCATGGAAGAGTCCGGGTCACCCGGGCTTCGTCATTTTCGGGAGGGGCCACCTGGCACGTTAGCGCATGTGTCCAGATGTCATGGTCGGATGCCCGCCGACCGTTGGCCCCAACCCCCCCTTAGTGGGGGCCAGCACGTCCAAGGCGCACGCGTCCCCGCGTCCAAGGCGCACGCGCCTGCGCACAGCCTTTCCCGCGTCCAAGGCGCACACATGGCTTCCAATTCATTGTTTTTTGCTAGGGATTCAGCACTTTCCGATTCAGAAAAAAGTTCTCAACCACAGCTTTCTCCGGTTGCGGATGCGGCCTAGGCGCGTGTACCTTGGACGGTCTAGGCTGAAGGTTTGGACCGTCCAAGGCGCACACACGGACCGTCCAAGGCGCACACAGACCTCATTTGCGCTTCCTATATACACACCGCCTCATTTAGCGATTCCGATTATCCTATATCTTGAACACACCCCCTCATTTGGTGATTCCGGTGATCTTATTTCTTAAACACACCCCCTTCATTTTGGCGATTCCGGTTATCTATATCTTAAACACATCCCCCCATTAGGCGATTCCGGTTAGCTTATTTCTTAAACACACCCCCTTCATTTTGGCGATTCCGGTGATCTATATCTTAAAGACATCCTCTCATTAGGCGATTCCGGTTATCTTGTTTCTTAAACACACCCCCTCATTTGGCGATTCCGGTGATCTTATTTCTTAAACACACCCCCTTCATTTTGGCGATTCCGGTTATCTATATCTTAAACACATCCCCTCATTAGGCGATTCCGGTTATCTTATTTCTTAAACGCACCCCCTTCATTTTGGCGATTCCGGTTATCTATATCTTAAACACATCCTCTCATTAGGCGATTCCGGTTATCTTATTTCTTAAACACACCCCCTCATTTGGCGACTGACCTCTTAAACACACCGTCTCATTTGGCGATTCCGGTTATCCTATATCTTAAACACACCCCCTCATTTGGCGATTCCGGCTATCTTATTTCTTAAACACACCCCCTTCAGTTTTGGCGATTCCGGTTATCTATATCTTAAACACATCCCCTCATTAGGCGATTCCGGTGATCTTATTTCTTAAACACTCCCCTTCATTTTGGCGATTCCGGTTATCTATATCTTAAAGACATCCTCTCATTTGGCGATTCCGGTTATCTTATTTCTTAAACACACCCCCTTCATTTTGGCGACTGACCTCTTAAACACACCGTCTCATTTGGCGATTCCGGTTATCCGATATCTGAAACACACCCCCTCATTTGGCGATTCCGGTTATCTTATTTCTTAAACACACCCCCTTCGTTTTGGCGATTCCGGTTATCTATATCTTAAACACATCCTCTCATTAGGCGATTCCGGTTATCTTATTTCTTAAACACACCCCCTCATTTGGCGACTGACCTCTTAAACACACCGTCTCATTTGGCGATACCGGTTATCCTATATCTTAAACACACCCCCTCATTTGGCGATTCCGGTTATCTTATTTCTTAAACACACCCCCTTCATTTTGGCGATTCCGGTTATCTATATCTTAAACACATCCCCCCATTAGGCGATTCCGGTTATCTTATTTCTTAAACACACCCCCTTCATTTTGGCGATTCCGGTTATCTATATCTTAAACGCATCCCCTCATTAGGCGATTCCGGTTATCTTATTTCTCAAACACACCCCCTTCATTTTGGCGATTCCGGTTATCTATATCTTAAACACATCCTCTCATTAGGCGATTCCGGTTATCTTATTTCTTAAACACACCCCCTGATTTGGCGACTGACCTCTTAAACACACCGTCTCATTTGGCGATTCCGGTTATCCTTTCTCTTAAACACACCCCCTCATCTGGTGATTCCGGTGATCTTATTTCTTAAACACACCCCCTTCATTTTGGCGATTCCGGTTATCTATATCTTAAACACATCCCCTCATTAGGCGATTCCGGTTATCTTATTTCTTAAACACACCCCCTCATTTGGCGACTGACCTCTTAAACACACCGTCTCATTTGGCGACCCCGGTTATCCGATATCTGAAACACACCCCCTCATTTGGCGATTCCGGTTATCTTATTTCTTAAACACACCCCCTTCATTTTGGCGATTCCGGTTATCTATATCTTAAACACATCCCCTCATTAGGCGATTCCGGTTATCTTATTTCTTAAACACACCCCCTTCATTTTGGCGATTCCGGTTATCTATATCTTAAAGACATCCTCTCATTAGGCGATTCCGGTTATCTTATTTCTTAAACACACCCCCTCATTTGGCGACTGACCTCTTAAACACACCGTCTCATTTGGCGATACCGGTTATCCTATATCTTAAACACACCCCCTCATTTGGCGATTCCGGTGATCTTATTTCTTAAACACACCCCCTTCATTTTGGCGATTCCGGTTATCTATATCTTAAACACATCCCCTCATTAGGCGATTCCGGTGATCTTATTTCTTAAACACACCCCCTGATTTGGCGACTGACCTCTTAAACACACCGTCTCATTTGGCGATTCCGGTTATCCGATATCTGAAACACACCCCCTCATTTGGCGATTCCGGTGATCTTATTTCTTAAACACACCCCCTTCATTTTGGCGATTCCGGCTATCTATATCTTAAACACATCCCCTCATTAGGCGATTCCGGTTATCTTTTTTCTCAAACACACCCCCTTCATTTTGGCGATTCCGGTTATCTATATCTTAAAGACATCCTCTCATTAGGCGATTCCGGTTATCTTATTTCTTAAACACACCCCCTGATTTGGCGACTGACCTCTTAAACACACCGTCTCATTTGGCGATTCCGGTTATCTATATCTTAAACACATCCCCTCATTAGGCGATTCCGGTTATCTTATTTCTTAAACACACCCCCTTCATTTTGGCCATTCCGGTTATCTATATCTTAAAAACACCCCCTCATTAGGCGATTCCGGTTATCTTTTTTCTTAAACACACCCCCTCGTTTGGCGACTGACCTCTTAAACACACCGTCTCATTTGGCGATTCCGGTTATCCTATACCTTAAACACACCCCCTCATTTGGCGATTCCGGTTATCTTACTTCTTAAACACACCCCCTTCATTTTGGCGATTCCGGTTATCTATATCTTTAACACATCCCCTCATTAGGCGATTCCGGTTATCTTATTTCTTAAGCACACCCCTTCACACCGTCTCATTTGGCGATTCCGGTTATCCTATATCTTAAACACACCCCCTCATTTGGCGATTCCGCTTATCTTATTTCTTGCTGCGCGTGCAGCTTGGACACGGGGGGTGGGCGTACCCGGCGCATGCAGGATGACTCGGCTCTGCGCAGGTTTCCAGCACTTTGGTCTGCATTGGCATGGATTTTAAGCTTGGGCACGGCTTCGAGGGGGGTGGGCGTACCCGGCGCATGCAGGATGACTCGGCTCTGCGCAGGTTTCCAGTACTTTGGTCTGCGTTGGTATGGATTTTAAGCTTGGACACGGCTTCGAGGGGGGGTGCATGGGCGTACCCGGCGCATGCAGGATGACTCGGCCCTGCGCAGGTTTCCAGCACTTTGGTCTACATTGGCATGGATTTTCTGTCTGTGTTTGCATGGCCTCCGGATACAAGAAAGCTCGGCCCTGCGCAGGTTTCCCGCGCTGCGCGTGCAGCTTGGACACGGGGGGTGGGTGTACCCGGCGCATGCAGGATGACTCGGCCCTGCGCAGGTTTCCAGCGCTGCGCGTGCAGGTTGGACACAGAAGCGCGTGCACCTTGGACACGGGCGCGCGTGCACCCTGGAAGTGGCGCCCCACAGCCGCCAGGACCGCAAGTGACGCCGGCGTTTTCTTGAAATATTTTTCCCTCCTACCTAGCAAGGACAAAGCCCGCGTTGCAGGGTAACTCTGAAGCAACAGGGGACAAAGCTGTTTTCTTGCATTATAAAATGTCCGGCTCACATTTTGTCAAGATTCAGAGTCTATCGATACAAAACAAGATATATGTATATAATATACGGGTAGAGTTGTCTATGTCTAGATCTGCGACGGCGATTATCCAGTCGTAAAAGCATGAAAAATATAAGTGGGAAAGGTAGTATAGGTTTTACTAACAATACTTATCAGAGAACGAGATAAAGTCTGCAATGAAACAGAAATGGCTAAACGAGTATATATTATCAGAATTTTATATATACAGTGGCAAGATGTCGGTTTACGCCCGCCGTTATCTAAACTCTCTAGGCAGGTGACTTTTCCAAGCTTATTCAGCAGGCTGGCTTTGGCCTACCATCTTTGCAAGCTCGGCTTCACTGATAGCCTGTGGCAAGCGCTAAATAGCAAAAGCTGTTCTGTCCATGTCGACATGCTCTCGCGCGTCCAAGAGTGCATGCAATGGCCAAGGCACGTCGTGCACATTCGCTTTGCCCTGTCGTACCTGGCTGCAGAACTGCGGCGAACCAAGTACCGAAGGGTGGAAACCAGCCAAAAGCCAAGCCTGTGAACGCAGGTTGACCAGCACCATGAAACCACAGGACACAGAGATGACAAACCTCGGGACATGTAGGCGGATCGCAGAAAATCATGCCAGCAGCCGGCTGCGAAGATCTAGCGCTGATTGCTGGCCCGGGACGAGATGGTAGCGATGGCATACAAGGGAATTATGAGCCCGTTCTTCTCTTCGGGCGGAGCTATCGGTGGTGCATGTCGGAGGTGGGACGTCGATGCCTGCGCTGCGAATGATGTCGACGGTGCAGGCTCCTCAGGGCAAACCACAAACTTGCGCAGCTGCCTCGAGTTGCTCCGGGCGGTTGCCCCTGCTGTGGACATGTCAATGCATCATGTGTCAGTAATTAGGCCGCCAAACTTGTTTTGGGGAGGTCTTCATGCCTCGCGATCGGCAGGCATTTTGTTTCGATTTGTAGGACCTCTCAGGAGGTGGTGAACCTCTGTTTCGCTAGGCTACCACAAACATAATGATAAAAACAATCCCTTGGTCTCATATCTTCAAGTAAGAAATCATATTGGCATCGAGGCTCGTGACATGCTAGGACACATGTTGACATGCACTGTAACTATACTATAACCTTATCTGATCTCCCAGCGCAACAGCGTTAAGCGAGCTTTCCCTTACCAAGCCACAAAGCCAACAAAGTCCAAGCCTGAAGGCCGGAAGGTCATGACGCCAAGGACCCACGAAGCCGCAAACAAAAATACCATAGAGTAGAGAACATAGAGTGACAAGAGAAGACTTCGAGAAACTAGACAGAACACAAAACCACTTAGCCAGTTGAAAAAGCTGCTAAAGTGAAAAAGCATAGTAACATAGGGCAATCGCCCTAGAAATGAAGCTCCTTCGGTGGATGCATCGTGGTAACTGGCACATCCAATGAGGGCAAGCCAGTACTTGAAACGGGTTGCACCTGAAAGTTCACGGGAACACACACACACACAGCGGCAGAATGACAAGAGCATGCCAAAAGCTCTGCTTCACCCAAAGCCTCCGCCTCCTTAATGTACTGTTTCAGCACCAGTGGAGTCGGCGCAGCAACCTTGGTGAGCGCCATGCACGTTTCCAAGTGTTGTCAAAACACCGCTGCAGCATCTCGAGCACTCAGAGCTCCGGACGAACAGTTTGGTGCGACGCGCTCGGATCAGATTGGGTCCATCACTTGCCTACCGTCTCGCAGGCTGAGGCAGGTCTCGCGTCTCTACAACAGAAGAGATCTCCAGGATGCGCAATGCCGGTTTAGGCGCAAAATCAGCTAAGATAAGCGTTGCCATCAGAAGGGGGAGTGCATGCGTGTGTGTATAAAAAATACATAAACAAAAAATGTATATATATATATATATATAGAATATAATATAATCTATCTGCTTGATTGTGTATGTAGTCATAAACATACATGCATATCATATACACATATATACGTATGCCGAACGTGCGGCGACAAGGAACGCTTACAGCTTGGCATGTCACCGGCAGGCCTTCGCCTCGTATCTCTCCTCCAATCGAAGGCGGGCGGCATGTGAGCGAGGCTTTACAGACGGATCTGGATGCACCTGATCTGGCAATGCTGTTGGACAAGACCGATCCTCTCGCAGAGAGGCGAACGAGGCGCCTGGTGACCCCACTGGCTATCAAACTCAGCAGCTATCAGGAGACACACCTGATGCGGCAGCGCGCATTGGCCAACAAATCTTCAAACATGCAAGTGCAAGTGTTCCCGCAGCGCTTGGAGACCTCGCCGCTAACGTCCGCGGGCAGCTTGCCCTCAAGACGGAAAGATGTTCTCGGAGCGCCCCAGAGCGTCAGCCCTTGGCATCGGAAGTTCACCGTGGCAATCTGCTTGGCCCTCGGCGTCAGGCTGCAGCGGCGTGAAGACTTCACAAGCGCTTTGAAGGTCTGTAGCCGCTAGCCTTTCGTTGAAATAGGTCGGGCTGTCTGTACTTCCACACTTAGCTTCGCGCTCGAGCAGCTTTCGAAATGTGCCGTCCTGTCTGCGCTCTGCTGCCAATGCCAATGCTTCAACTTTTCCGTGATTTTTGTTCGCCTACTGCAGAAAAACATGACTCCTCCAAGGCCGCACCGCTGTCCACACCAACATTGCACTCTGGGATGTGGGCAGTCGGTGCCACAAGAAGCCTGAGGCGGCTAACACAAGCGACTGGCTCAGTCTGCACCATCTGGGCTTCAAGATGCTAGGTACTTTCTTGCCATCCACAACAGAACTAGGTTGGTGGGCCAACCTGTTCCAGGGCACTGCAGAGCGCAAAGAAGTGCAGAGGTGCGGTCTACCAGCCGCGGCCACACGAAAAGCTGGCAGTTGCTTTTTTGACACTTACAGGTACACTCGGACAAGCGTGGCAAGGTGTGCAGCTAATTACTGGTTCAACGACACGTTAGCTGGCCTACCGGACTGGTGTCGTCCAGCAACTGCTGGTAGGTTTCATGCACAACTATGTCTAGTCTGGGTCAGGCATTGTCACGAGTTGTCTTAACATATGTTTCTGATGGCGCTGGCACCTCGCCGTCAGCTGGCTACAGCCGAAGCCGAAAGCGTCCACGGCGACTGACGCACCCGGGCCTTGTGTCTGAGTCAAACGTCGAAGGAACTTCCACTCGCAAAAGGCGCTATACTGCTGAAGGGGCTTCTTGCACAACTCTGTGCAGGCTCTCATCCCAAACCCTTTGAGCAGGCCTGGGGTTCGTGGTGCCGTCACACTTTGCACCACAACTTCCGGACGTGCCAGCTCAATTAGCTTCAAACCTTGGACAAAAGCGCTGTCAGGAATTACACCACTGTCACGAGTGTCATGCTTAGTCGTTGAATCCGAGCTGTAGTCGAGCCGGTGCGCTGTGGTCGTGAAGTGAAGTATTCAGTTCGCAATTCAAACTTGACCTCGCACCTGCTGCAACGAACATGCCTCAGAGCGGAATTTCTCCAAGCTACACATTCGAAGGTTTCGTGGCACGTGGCCCTGCGAAACGGCGGCGGCCCATATCTCCGAAGTGTGCCCAAGAGTCGCCTCTTGGGCTGTTTTCTTGTCGTCCATTTCCTCGACTTAGCAGAGCATGGATCGAAAATGCATTCGTATGTACATAGACGCGCAAGCGTGCACAGTTTACTTTTACGAAAGCTATGCGCATCCCACAGTCCAAGCCGCTGCCAAGTACATCAGAGTACTGATGCTATCTTTGCGATACCTTGTGCGGTCCTGGCCAACGAATACGCAATTCAGAGCAGGCATCTCTACCTACAAAATCCTCTGCGATAAATCGCAGTCCTCCGGGTAACCACCATACGTGGTCGGTTGGCAGACCGTGATGGGTCTTGGAGAATTCTCGAATCCAGCTGCATAGGACCAGTCCTCCATGCCTCCATCCACGGGGTATACCTGAGCAACATCCGACACCACACGCGGAAATAGGCCCCTCCCCTGGAGTCCTTCCAAGGTGCTAAGTCATTGATCGGCCCGAGGGGATAAAACCATCGATTTCTAGAGTTCTTCCCGGCAGCTTCGCGAATGGACTCACCCACCTGGGAGTGCAACAGTTGAACTCCGAGTTTGCCCACCTAACGAGCGGTTTAAGAACGTTCAATCACTCGCCTGTCTGAAGGCTGACTCATCGGGAGACTCCGTCGACTTCATTTTGACCAAGTGGTTTTTCGATCCCCATTCATAGGTGAGGGCCCGCATGCCACCGTGGAAGGTGATGCTGAACCTGCAGCCGCTTTTCGGCCGATTCTCAGCTTGAGGAGTCAGACGATTGACATTCGATCTGGGAGGCTGGAAGAGGTGCCGGCGGAACAGCTCCTTAGATGCCAGGGCTCAGCACCTCAATCGAAGCAACCTGGAAGATATCTGTTGAGAAACACACAGCTTGGAACATGCCGGAGGATCCCGGAGGCCAAAGCCAAGAGTCGTTCACCGCCCGAGCGGTCTGTGTCTGCATGCATCGCTGAGGCATCTGTAAATACGGGAAGTCTCGATTTGGATCCATGCCATTCTCCTCCCGCTTGTAGTTCGCATAGCCATGTGCGTTCGTCATTGGCATGAGCCACCTGGGCACGCAATGTTCCAAAAACTGCAGGTTCCTTCGAGCACCGTGTGGCAGCAACCGATGCGAGCTTGGGAGTTCCCCCAGCTCGAGTGTAACCGCGCCGGCTGGTACTTCTTTCAAAGTCTGCAGGTACCGTGAAATCTGCGCTGCAACTGGAGCATGCAGCTTTTGAAGTGGACTGCTTGTTCATCCATGAGTCCAAAGCTTCATGGCACTCGACAGGTCAAGCATCAATGCCTGTCTGCGCAGAACGTGCGCCGTATGATCGGCGTATGTGCGAGGCTTCTGCACTGGCCGTTCGCCTTTCACAGCCATGCAAGAACTGCTGCCGTAGTGCTACATGGCTGCTGATGTTTTGCTCTAAGCAATGAAGCCGAAGCCCCGGTGTTTCTTTGCATCGCTGCTTCCGGCTTGAACGAGTCTCGACGTTGTGTCAACAAGCCCAGGGAGGGACAAATGACAAATGTTGTCCAATTGAAAATCACTTTTGCAGCCACTGCCCTCTGCACTTGCTTCGACAGCTGCACTTGCCCGTGCGTGGGTTTGTTGACGACGATAGTCAAATGAAGAAGTTGATTAATAGCTTTTGACTCGTCGCAATCCAGACTCAGCGAAATGCTTGGCGCCCCCTATCTCATCCACACCGTCACACCATCGGTTACCACAGTTTTCGCGCGAGACGCAGGCCTGTGCTGTAGCCAGGCTCGTCTGGTACGACATTAACATGCCGCAAATTTAGCACGTGCCTGAAAAGGATTCGCTATGCATGCCGCTGTCGCAGACCATACTTGCCTGTGCACTGACCACACGCTGAACAAACGTCTCCCACGAGAACGCAAACCCGAAAGCTCTCCAGCCATGGATTGATATCTGACCGTGTGCACCAAGCAGTCTCCTTACCTTGCGGTTGTATGCCGTTGCTTTCTTCGTTCTAGTCCTTCTAGTCCCTGCCATATCCTCTCAGGCCACAAAGGTCCCTGCTTGCACAGTCTTCTTTCGTTCTTTCGCTCCATAATCTCGCACTCCATGCTCTGCAGTCTTGCTTGCAGCACCTCCCTACTATCCCCAAGAAGCTAAGTCGCAGCTAAGTACGCCTAATGTGGACTTCACAACAGCAGCCATAGCAAAACACCATTTGTATGGAGAGGCGGCTCAAAGTTATGAAAGCACTGTGCGGCGAATGGAATTACGCACATTGAGTCCATGACGTGGATCGCCCGTCGACCAGTCGAACTACCTGCCAGGAAGGCATGCTGGGTCATGCGCACACCGGATGGAAACCGGGCACTGGAATGTATGCTGCTGTTGAGCGCCGTATAGCGCCGTCCTCTGCGTGATTTGCGGCATGCTGCTCGCAAAGGAAAGTCGCCAGCTCACAGACAGTCGCCGGACCAATCCTCCAGCTCTGAAAGGTTGGAACATGTTTGAAAGCTTGGGTGTATATTGTGTGCCCGAGCTGTGGAAAGGGTCACGGCAAAAGCTGCATGACTGCCTTTCATCTCCGTGTAGTGCTCCACTGAAGAAAACCTCTGGGGTGGAGTCGGAAAGCAGCTGCTTGTTGGCGATGCGCACCTTACGTCTGAGTTCGATCTGCAGATGTTGCACATTCCGGCCCACTACTACGACTTGCGGTGCATCTTCCTAAACATTCAGGTCCAAGCCACAATGAGCGTCCTGCATGCCTCGCCCTCGCAAGTTCCCCAGGATCTCTTCTGAGGAAGGATCTCTGGAAAAAGATCCTGCCAATGATTTTTCTCAAGCGCTTGACAGACCAGGTCGCCATGCAGGGAACACAGCAAAATTCTCAACCGATGCAAGTCCAAAGCCACCCTGCCAGCTGCGACCACTACTGCGACTGCCGCTGATGCTACTACTACTCTACTCTACTACTACTACTACTACTACTACTACTACTACTACTACTACTACTACTACTACTACTACTACTTCCATCTCCAGGCAGGTCTGAGGCAGATGTTTAACAGATTCCGGTCCCTTGCGCTAAGCATCGGGAGGCCTGGCCTGCGCAAACCAAAGCTCTACGAGGTTGGGATGGCGTCGGCGAAGGTCTTGGAAGAAATCGTGGGTTTGGCCTAAGTGCCAAGCTCGAGGACTTGGCATGGCTCGTGCGTGCGGACGGCTTGGACAGGCATACTTCCTCACGGCAATATCCGCACAAGGGTTTTAACCTCTCAGACTTACTTGTATTTGGGGTCCCTTATAAAGCCCAGGTGCGATATGTGCGGTACTTGAAGGCACGATTCGGCAGGTTGGCCGGAGCACTCGCATGATGAAGCGGAAGGGCAAGGAGAATCAGAACAAACTGGCCAGTCCATACCTCATGCTCAATCCTGTCTCTAGCTCGCTAATAACAAGCTTGGCGACAACGCCAGCCACTGCTAGCTTTCTCCACGCCGGACCAAAGCGACATGCAAAGTACTGCCGACCAGCTGCTCGCGAGAAATGCATGCTCCCAGAGGGTCGGTTATCGACTTCCGACGCTGCAAACCAATGCAGTGCTGAGCCATTGCAGCTAAGCCCTGAGCTGCAACCACTTAATCCTTCTACGGCTATACGTTCAAGCCTTTGGCTGCACTGTGCTGCACTGTATGTTGGTTGCAACGTCACGGGAACGTCTGAGATCAAAGCTCCGCCAGGTCTTGACAACTGTACCTTTAGCTTCTGAGCCTGTCGAGCTTCTGCTTTTGCGAGGCTCTTCAGCCGAAAGCTGCTACGCAGCAACCCGAGCTGAACATGCTCGGCTTAGTGACTCAGTGCCGACCGTGGACCACCGTCTGATTGCTCTGCGATTCAGCAGACTTCCACCAACGAGCCTTTTCTCATCGCCTCCCTGGAAAGCACCCTGGATGGCGGAAGCAAGGTCTTGCAAAGCCTGCCATGGAGACCTTGCCAAGACGAACACGCTGGTTCATGATGACTCTCACCATCTCTCAGATCTGAAGGCACGCAACTCTTTTCTTAAGTCGGTGGCCACTCTTCCTGGGCGCGCTTCGTCCCTGACTCGCCTGCAGGATTGGACACCAGGCTCTAAGCAGCCGAGAGACATGGGCAGGTAGCTCCTGAAACCATAATTGCACGTGCGCCGTATGGATGCTGGACACTTACAACTTTGTTGCATCGCTTCGCTACTGCAAATGTCTCTGTCAACAAGATGTGGCCTCGTCTTTCGAGGATGGCATTAACAACGACCTCGGTGAAGGTCACTTCGACGTAGTCGCCAGTCTGCAAGGCCTGGCCACAGAGCGCTTTCACTGCGATTCTCAAGCCGCTTCTCTGCGGTGCCTCGTCCGCCTTGCGCCGAGTCCTGTGCAACATTCGGCGCTTCCACGCGAAGATTTTCAAGGGGTCCAGAAGTCCATTGAACCTTGACCCTCTAAGATTCTGCCAGTCGAGGGGTGCGATTATAGCAAGAAGTAGTCGTTTGCACGTCGCATTGTCTTGGCTTCTTTGAAGACGGCTCACACCAGGCTTGTTTCAATATGGGCGAGACTGCTTTCCGGAAGCTGGTTCTCTATTGCATGTCGATCGCCTCACATGAGGGGGCGCAGGCTTGACTTCAGCTTGGAAGTCACGTGCAAGGATGAGGGCGGCTCTCATGACATGGGTATTCCCGTGATAGATTTTGCTACGTTGTTGCGGAAGGATTGACACTTTTCTCTTAAGGCTTCAGGGGAGCTGGTGCAGTTGTGGGGATGTTGGTAGCAGTTGTACAGCTCAACCCTAGCCCGACCCTGGGGAGTCTGTAGCTGCACCCTGAGGGCCCTCCATAATCGTACTTTGTGCATGCCGAGGATGAATCAGGGTCATTTCCCCATCGGCTCTAGCCTGCCCCTGGTCGCTCGGACTCGGACGGGGCAACTAGTGGCATGTCCGCTGAGATCGCAGTGTTTTCGTACATGTATCCATGCGGGCAGGCTTCGGGCACTCCAAGCCTACTTGCCGTCTCGAAGCCTGCTCATGATGGCCGTACAGAATACAGCACAACAACGGCTGACCCGCCTGCATCCCGAATCCCGGTCTAGCAAAGCTGGGGAGCTGGCCCATCCCCATGGAACGTATTCACCAGTAGGCGGAAGTGCCGAGCCTATAGTACTTGAAGAAAACACGTTTACAACGTCGAAATTTCGATCCGACTGCCGACAAGTCTTCTCATTCTGACCTATTCACCGCGGCCCCTGCCGTCCCAAGCTCATCAACTTCCGCTTCACCGCCTTCTTTCAGGACCTCAGATCTGTACTCCCCCTTGTTTGAAAAAGCTAACAAAGCACACCTGAAAAGACGCAATCCTGTAGTGCGTGAATGCGGAAAGAGAAAACCCATGTATCCAAGGAGCTGGAGCTGCAGAGACATCTAGCCTGAGCCCCGGTAGCTAAGGGTTCCCAATCTGAGATGCTCGGATTCCCCCCCCTTCTCTCGATGTTCGGCGTTCTTGCGATTCCGAGGCGGTAGCCCGAGTCGAAACATGCCGAAACAAGCTAGTCCGAACTCAAAACCCCTCAGCTCTCCGTCTCCGATTTCCGTGTAGCTTCAGTGGCACACGGATCGGCTTGCCCCTAGACTCTCTCTCTCTCTCTCACGGACTCAGGTTGAAGCAATCACCCCTCTTTGAGCTTCCTCTCAGTCGTTCGAGTTTGTGGTTCCTGCCACCTGCGGTTGGATGCTGCAGAGTCTGTGTGCCGCATGTGTTTTTGGATGCAGGAGCTGTGCATTTGGCACGTGTTCAAGGCGGGAAGGAAGGGCCGCCGTGGCGGGTCCGTAGTTTCGCTGTTCAGTTTCTGATTGTTACGGTTACATGACACCGCAGGCCCCCATTTTTTGTCACTCGTGCTCGACAAGTCAGACGAGGTTTGCCAGGCTACACAGCAGGCCCATACACATTCATCGCATTTCATCGCCTTCTGCCCGGACAAAAACCATATCTGCAACCTCCCACATCCCACATGCTTGAAGGATAACTAAGCACACCATCCTGTGGCTACGCAAAACCACTTGGTTCGACATGCCATTTCAGGCAAAATTGTTAGATCCCTGGTGGCACTGCTTGTTTCTTTATGGTCTCAGGCTATGCGGCACAAGAAGTGCAATGCAATGCAATCAGGATGCGCGTTTCCCAAGTCTGAGTTTGCACTCTCCTCGCATGATACCTCAGACTGTCAGACACAGACACAGCTGCCACGGTGTGACAGCAATGGTCTCTGCATCCTTCAGACCCGATACCCTCATCTTGATGGTCCCATGCTTTGCCAGATTTTCTTCCTGCAAGTGCGTCACATCATCACGGAATGGACATTGTGCACGACGGAATCTTGGTTTCATCTCTGAAGTAAGGCTTTCGAACCGAATGCCGCGTAGCCAGCGACCAACCTGCTGACTCTATGCCGTACGCCTGACCGGTGACCTTACCTTCAACTGTGTGCTGGTCCTGGGTCAAAAAGTCCAGCAATGTTTGCAAGACTTTGACCTCAGAACAGTCAGGTCCGCATCTAAATCAGACAGGGCTTTGACTTTGCCTGCATGGATACCCTTGGGTAGGGCTTATCTACGAGGGCATGAAGCACATTACCTTGACAAAAGCCTGTGCAAAATTGCGCTACCTGTGTAGTGTTTCGGACTGAAGAACTTGTGCTTCGGAGTGTGTCGGACGCTGTCTGTTAAGCAAGCTACCCATTCGATCGTGTTGAGTTGTTTTTGCATTCTTTGGTGCTTTCAGTCAAGGGCGGCAAGCTGCCTCTAGCTGGTCTTCAACAGACCCACGGTATGGCTGAGCACACCCCTTGACTCATACGGGCTGTTCTTCAGCCTTCTCGATGAGGCTGAGGCCAATACGTGTTGAGTTGCTCCTGTGCCCTCCAACATGCAGCACATGCAGCTTGACTACCTAGCTGCCTACACGGCTGCGGTCTTTGTCCAAAATCCCCATTCCGGTGGCCAGGCAAGTTGCACTCAAGTCGAAAGCCACATCTGCTGCCTCTCGGCCGCCTCAGGTGCAAGTGCACCATGCAGAAGTAAATGAAGTCCAACAAGTGCTTGCTTTGAAACACATTCAGCAGGTTGCATTGGAATCGTCCTAAAACCTGTGCTCCCATGATCCAGAAGGCCCCGGCCGTAAATGCAACGCTCCATGTCGGCCAGCGGAATGTACTGGAAGCCGAAGATTTCGGACGTGTTGTGATAGGCCACGATGACACCATCCATGCGGCCAATCTTGGCCTGGAACCCATACTTCATGAAGGCATTTCCTCAAAGCACATTCATTCGCTTAAAGCGGCGGAGCTGCCAAGAAGTTTGCACTAATCAGAACAAGTCGCGCATCATTTCATAGATTTCCAGCTCGTAACTGTTGCGAGCGCCGAATATCCTCGTGATGCGATATTTCCGCCGCTTTTCATAATTCCTTGAAGCAGTGGGTGGAGAGCGAAATTCACGTACCAGTACATCGAACCCTAGCGTGCAAGTCCACGCAGCCGAGGACGTCGTAACAGCTCGGCAGCTAGCAGTGCGACACAAAAAATCCGTCCAGGACTCTGCGCATCATGCCTCACTGCACTCACTGCACGGGTCTTGACATCCTTAGCTGCTGCAGCTGCGAAAGCGGGATCTAGCTCGCTAGATTTCGCCAGACGGAAGCGACAGAATACCGTGTCAGACCACTGCAGCTTTCAAAGAGCTCAGAGAAGCACCCGCCTTGCTGCCCAAGCTCGAAAACAAGGCCCTGATAGATGGCATCCAGCTGTGAACGCATCATTAGCCGGTCCACCTTCAAGAATCCTCGGATGATAACTCGTGTTACATGTCTTTATGGGCTGGCCCGAAAACATTCAGCTGAGCCGCTGTAGGCCTGGTCGTCCTTCTCCTGCTCCGTGGAGGAAACTTCGGTGCTTGCACCTCCATTCTTCAGGAATCGCTCATCGAAATCGTTCTTCGACATCGTGAGCTGGTATTCCATTGACCTTTGCTGGCTGGCTCGAGAAACTGGATCGTGTCATCTGGAACCCTCGCAGCCTCAAGAACAAGGTGTTACTAAGACTTAATCGCACGCACCAATGCAATGGCCCATATCAGTATTCCAAACCTGACTGATTGTCTTGACGAGTTGCTTTCCCAAGTCCAGCAGCACCGTCTTATCCTGAGATCGCACACAGAACGGTTGAGGCGGTTGAGCCTCTTGAGCACTCGGCTCTTTCCGTAAATTGCTCTCGTGGTTTCAACAACGGCCAGGGACATCCGGCCTCAGGGTCGTTTTTCGCTGCAGTCAGCGACCACAATGAGCCAGACGCTCGGCGAAGATATGAGACCTGAAAGCTTCCGAAGGTTTTGTCCCAGGGTGAGCCGCGTTCGAAGATGTTCCCTTCGCGACTCGAGGCAAGCCGCTGTCGGCCACCTTGTGCTGGGGCTGAAGGTTCTCGGCCTTCCGACTGGGCACCAAAGCCGGGCTGACGAAGGAACCGGAAGAACAAGAAGAAGTGATCTTGCTGTCGATTTTGCTTGTGTAGTTCGTTCAACTAGGACCATGAAGCATGAACTTGCAAACAGATCAACAAACGATGCTCTCATAGCTCCGTCTACTCATATTTGTCTGCTCCTTTCCTTCTTCATCTGGCTGAGGGTTTACAGCTGGCGTCTTGGGCAACGCTTCAGGTTACCGTTTGGGCAGCATGAGTGTGGCAAAATGAAAAATCAAGTGTGCTTGTGGAGGTGGCAAGGAGCTGATCTCCTGCCTCGTGGATAGGCATGCGATGTGGTTGAGTTCTCAAGCACCCGCTGCTGAGGTGCACGGAAACAGTATGCTCCGCTACCTTCGGCGAGGATTGACGCGTTCTGCCAGCGGCCTGGGCCGAGTCTGGCCCTTGTCAGAGAATAGCAGCACTGCTGCAAAGATCACCAAGTACAGCAACCTTGACACCCTGGTATGAGCACTGCAATGCAGCAGTGACGAAGGCCTGCATTGCAATTGCAAGACTGGCCTGGCTATTCCCGCTGCTCACAGTCCGTTTCGGAGATGGCAGCTTTCGCGCGCTATTAGACAGCTGGAACCCGCGATAGCCTTTCTTGTGCGTTGCCAGGTCACCATGCGACCTGGTGAACGTGTTGAACATGCTCATGCGCGTTTGGCCTCGCTTGCGCTGGCTATTGAGATGGGTGCATGTACAAGTGTGCTCTTGCTGTTGTGTCGGCTGTTCCGACGCCTTCTGTCTCGCTCCCTGGCTCTGTCTGCCTGTATGTCTGACTGTCAGACAATCCAAGTAAGCCTGGCTGCTTGTATTCTTGGACGTACACTTTTATGACATTCTCTTTCCGACCGAGTGCGAAAATGCAGCTCGGCGGATTCTTGCCGTCGAGACCGAGAGTCAACTAAACGAGCGTCTGTAATTGTCTGTCAGCTCTGCCCTGCGGTGTCCTCCTCAAGTTGATCACAAACGACTGTTCGTCAGCTTCGGAACGTGCCTTCTCCACCACATGCTCGGGAGTCTGTCGGGTGTCTTGAAACTCTCTCCAACTTCTGTGTGGGAGTCTAGCATTGCTCTTCGCACTTGCCGGTTCACAGAGAATCAATTTCCACGGATGGGAGATCCAACCTGCCACAGTCCGGCTTTAATTCCTTCCTTGTCCCGGTCTTTTTCTGTCTCCGTCCCCAGCTGTGCATGTGTGCGGGAACCTCCTCTCTCAAGGTAATGTTTGCTGGAGCATGTTTTGCAACTTTTAGTCGCCGTCCTGCCTGCTGCGGTATCCCTTGCTGAGGCCACAAGGGTCGAACTGGCGGTGCTGCGATATTGCGAAGTAGCACCGTGACAGAAGGCCTGCGGCGGATTCATCGTCAATCAAAACTGACCACGAAAGCTGCATCTACCGAAGACACTTCCAAGCATGACGCCTGTCAGAGAAGATGTGCTGGAAAAGTACCGACAATCGCTGTCCAAAGCCTTGGTAGGCGAGTATGAATTACATGGGTTTAGTCCGGAAGACTCAACACTGCGTTCGAGTAGATATGGGCAACAGGCTTATGGTGCTGATCCCGGCTGCCAACCTCTCCAAGCGCTTGTCTTCATGAGCTGGCACAAACGGCGGCAATGCCTTCCAGTTTACCTCCTTCGTCAGGCATTTTTGTGGACAGCAAGGCTTATGGTGCTAAGGCAGCACAAGCTCGCAGCATTTACGTACCCTGTCGCGTGTGAAATCATAACTTGAACTTTCTTTAACATACCTGGCAATTACTAGAGCTGCTGATTCTTCGTCTTACGGCTTCGGGTTCCCAATTCACCACCAGCTTTCTTGGGACGATGCTGGCAGGGCAGGACAAGTACCTGGAAGAAATCGTCATTGCTTCTTGATGAGGAGCTTCTGAAGACTAGGACTAGGAGTGTATGCCGAGGTTCCTCGCTTCGGACGAGTAGTAGTAGTAGTAGTGGTAGTAGTAGTAGTAGTTGTAGTAGTAGTAGTAGTAGTAGTAGTAGTAGAAACCTAGTATTCTGAAACACTGTTCTTGTCGAGAGTCGTCCGGCTGCACAACGCGCCGTAGCGCCCGGCGCTGCTTTGCCGGCAGGCCGGACAGCGGGACCAACCTGCTCTCAGAATGGGTTGCTGTACAGGTGACTAGGGTTGACTCTGCGAGAGGAGTTACTTCATTCACCAGGTCTCAACAAGAACGTTCTGGCTTTGAGGGGAATCGCATCCAGACTGGCAGGCAAGGACAGAACGACTGCTGCTGCAGTCGAGTGAACCTTGGAGGTATCCTTAACAATCAATAGCTTACTTGAGACAGCCCACGGTTCCGTGCTCACTACAAATCAGGATTCTTGTCACTTCAACGAGGAAGCTTGATATGGCTCTTGCACATACACCACCATGCCCTTGATGCCTCAAGCTCTGTGCAGCTTCTGTGGACTTCTGTGGTGTCATCTTAAGTACGCTTTGCCGTCCACATTCCAATGCGCATTCTCATGCAGCGGCCGCGTGTCCTGATTCATACATGCCCTACGCTACGCACGCTCCACGACAAGAACTGATGTTGGCATGTGAGCTGGTGAAGCTGTTGTTGCTGCTGCTGCTGCTGCCAACTCACCTTTCAAATTCACTTGCTGGCTTGATGAATGGCAATTCAGGCAGGATGTGCTTCTGTCAATTTCCCATCACGATGAGGGTTTCGGTGCGTTCCGAACCAAGGCACTTCGACGGAGGTGCAGTTCAAGTTCAGAGAGGGTCTCGGATAATCGAAGTTAGCATGATGAGTGGTAAACTCGGCCGCAAGGGTTTCGCTTTCCATCTGAAGCATGAACCGCCCTAATCCTGCTACATCGTCATCTCTGTGCCTGCCACGCAGTTCGACCACACTCTCCAGTCCATGCGCGAGCCTGGCAGTACTCAAAAACGACATCTCAACGATTCGAAGCTAGTCTAAACAGTCTACACTCCAATAAGACAGAGGCATGACGAGACCGCTGGGGCGCAGGCACCGCGACGAAACTGCCGTCAGGATTTGGTCGGTCCTGTCTTCGCAGCGACCTAGCACATTACATCTCAAGTCTCTCAGGTAACACATTGTCCTCGAGGATGGCAGGCTCCCGTTCTATGCCACACGTCCAGGACCTGCCGGGTCGGCTCAAGGGAATCTTCTCACGGTGCGAACGCGTGCACGAATGCATGCATGCATGCATGCATGAACTGATGGATGGGTGTGTTGATATGTGCGTATGTATACATGCGCATGTGTATATATATATAGATATAGATATATGTATACAGAACCGGACACGTGCAGATCACAATCGTACGCTATGCACGTAGTCCATTGCGGCATAGCGCCACAGGTTTGCAACGGTACGTGCACGTGGGAGGACAGCACTGCACCTCCACCTGCTCCTTGCTGTCAGTTCTGGTTTGGCATACCCTCTTCGCACAGAGACAACCGGCGACTCGTTATCGGGCAACTATAGAGTTCCCAAGTTTTGGGACCCGACTTTCCTTGAATTCTGATTTTTTCTATGCACCCTGGTGGCAGCAGCCATCCCCGCAGTGCCTCGACGACTCACTCAGCAAAGCCTCGACCACGGCAGCACGGCTGAGGCTTTTGCCAGCCTTCAGCAGCAGGTTTCGTCCATGAGGACTGCGTGTATTGAAGTCACAGCAGCCAGGCTTTGTTTGTCAAGACGTCGGTGAGCTTCCTAAGTTGGGGGTCGCGAGCCAGCTCCTGGCATCTTCTCGCAGTATTGTGCCCGGCGCCTGATCGAAGATCCCCGCTTCCGGCAGCATGTCCGCCGCCCGGCGAAGCTCTTGGTCCAGGTCGCCTTCCTGTGCAGATGTGACAACCCTGCCGGAAGTCTGACCTGTGAAGAACGGAACTTTGCACCGGCTCCTGGAAGAAGCTCTGGCCCTGCGACATGCAAAGACACATTCAGACACAAAGCCGATCCAGAAGTTCGATAGAACATGTACCTTTGCAAGTAGAAGTAATACATAGGAACTGTGGCTTCCAGGCGCCTCAAGTGAGGTGGTGGATCCCGCGAGTTCAGCATCGTCTAGATCCACGAAGTCTTCCACATCCTGTTACCCACAAGCCCACGGCCCTACATCTTATGACCTGCTTGGTGCTACGCCTCATCTTGGACTGTCACAGTGGAGTTGTGCAGCATGCGGCCTCGTCCATGTCTTCCGAGTCGTCAATGTCCTCGAGCTCCTCGAGCTATGAGAGCTTCAGGTTTTTCTGACTTCTCAACGTGTAATACTGTAATGCGGCAAGCACGCTGCTGTCCTGGAGCTCAACCTCGCCGGCATCCGGTTGGTCACCTCTCGTGTCTTGCGCCGGTTCTCAGCCCATCGTCCGCCACTTGGCAGCTCCAAGCTTCTTGAACCGCATGGCCTTCTTGTTGTGCCCTTTGCAGGTTGCGCTCAAGCTGCTTCCTTGCTACCTTTGCGCACACCCAGACAACTCAACTCTTAAAGTTCACTTGTCCATCCTGAAGACCTGGACCAACATATGTTCGAGGCCCCGGCTTTCTGCCCTTTCACAGCCTTGCGAATGCTTGACAGGCCTGAAACGAGATGTAAAGACAGCAACATCCACTTCGGCTCAGGTACTTCAGGTTCTGCGGGGCTAGTATTGCAAGGAAAGCAGCTCCCGCATGTCCTGCTACCGAAGCACCTTGGGAACCCGAGGCCTGGGGTGGATTGGTCATAGATCCTCCTTGCAGTCCTGATGCCCCAAACCCCCCAAATATGGCAGGATACTTCTGTCTGATATGCTCAGTGCTCCGTGGGACCCAGTCACACTTTGCGGTCGGGGTACGTACTGCGACTGGCCACAAGGCATAGGACAAAGGAACGTCCATGGAAGGTCCATCTCCCACCTGGGCCTTGCAATGGCCATGCGAACATCAAAAGGTGTCATTTGCAAGGGTACTCCTCTTCAGTGGCATGTGAGATTTCCGTAGTTCAGGGCCTGAAGAGCCCGACACCGTGGTTCCAGCACGTTCTTGGGTAGGGAACTGGTCATCAGGAAGAGAACTATCCTCGAGAGAGACTACTTGAAATAGTTGAGCGTTTTGCAGCGGTGTTGAGCACATTCTTGAGCAGCCGACTGCTCAAAAGTTCACCGACTGTGCCCTGACGACTGCAGAAGCTGCTCCAGGCTTTGCACACGGTGCTGCATCTTGGGTCTGCAAAGCACCGAAAATCCCTGCGTCTCGGGCACGTGGGTGGACGTTAATCCCACCCCGTCTATCCTGAAGCCCCTGCAAAAGCCCCCAAACCCTGCGAAATCACAGGTTTACACCGCCCTACGTGCCGCTGTGCTGCCCCATCCCTGAATTTAAAAGCGGCCAGGCCGGGCCTTGCAGACCTGGCGTGCAGGACGCAGCGCTGGTTTCGGCCAGGCCGGCCCCTGACAGGGGAAAAAGTGTTTCTGCCTCTGAATTTGGGAGGCCAGTTGAGAAAGCAGCGGTCAGGATTCGCTGAACTTCCAGGGCCCAGCGAGAAGTTTGAAGAGCCCTCGGGCTGTGCCTGCCTTGGTGAAGCCCGGCGCAGATACCATGGCAAAAGGACGGCTCAAGACGTGCACAGCCCATGCCCGCAAGCGCGAGCTTGAACATGAAGCAACGCGATGGCAAGGCAATGCTGTGAGGACCTCAAACCATGGCAGTCACTGGGCCTAGGGACGAGGTCCTTGTTGATCACAGCCCGCCGTGATGTGGTTTTCTGCGGGGCATGCATCTGATGGTGCCCTGTCAACCTGATGCGATGTACCTGTACATGGGATGGAAACCGTAAGCACAAGCAAAGGAAACAGAGGAGAGATGGCCACTCATCGTCTCCTTCAGACTTATTGGCCATCACAAACACATGCTATCGAGGGTCATGAAACTTAAAAGCTCATGCAGAAAATTTGCTGGCCATGCTGGGTTATTTGTCCATCCAGCCTCAGGTGGTGTGCAGGACCCATGCCGCAATTTGCCAACTAGAACAGGAATCATGCTATGACTGGAGGACACTTCGGTGCATCGGGTTCTGCAGTGCCGTGCTGAGTTTGGCCAAGGGAAGGCTGCGAACAACGCAGGAAATCTGAAAACGACGTTTAAACCATACATGTTTGGAGAGGTTCAATCGTCGCGACTGAGTCTTTGCAGTCCACCCTTCCGGGCACTTTGCTAGCTCAACGTCTGCACACATGCTCTTAACTTCCGGGGCTGCTGACGGGCAGCCAGGAGGCTGTTCGAAGCCTGACTCTTTGCACGGATGACTCCCACTTCCAGCACTGCTACCTGTACTGTGGCGTCTTGGAGCCTCTGGTCCAAGCAGCTGGCAGTCCTCGACGGACAAGTGTACCAAAGCGGGCATCCCAGCTTGTCAAGAGGCCACCTGCTCTCGACGATGTCAGCACAGTGTTGCAAACGTCTGGTCCGGAAAGGGCATCCTACACTCCCTACATGCCTTGCTTCCAGCTCGGTGCAGTCTTCACCAATGGAAGCACGCAAAGCAAAGCTAAGTGGCTAAAAGTTACGGTAGAAGGCTTAACCGTCATGAATCTGCTTGCACGGTATTGGTCGATCCTGTCGTGGGTGCTGCAGTCGCACCCTCTGGCCTGGATGTGTTCTCACTGGACAGTGCCCTAGGCTGGCAAGGCACACGATTTGAGGCGGACTTATGATGTAGCCTGAAACACTGGCGTGCGGTCCAGTGTGCCTGTGCCTGGACAACGACACCGTTGTGACAAACCTCTTCGGGCTGACGGCCGCGCTTTGTCCACAGGTGCGGCCGAAGATTCAAAGCACTGCAGGAGCCACCAGACTGACGAAAGCGTGGCGAGCAGTGGCCCTTCGCCGGCCTGCGCCAACATCCGCAGGCACGGCTATCAGATCAATGAACGAAAAGACTGGCAGCCAACTCAACACCGTTGCAAAAGCCGGCTGCGAGTGTTGTTCTTCGGGCTTTAGTAGACACATTCGGGGGAATGCGGGGTGCGAAAACGAGTTCAACCACATCCAAAGATTAATGTTCTATCGGCCACAGACCACATGTGGATTTCTGCTCGGTAACGAGGCCCGCAATATGATACTAAGATCAGCGCAGAGTAAGCTGGTACAGTGTTGGACTCTGTTGTCGCATAGTAGTTGTAAACTGGCAAGACCGATTTCAAACGATTTGTCCGACTTGCTAGACGGTGACTAATTTACGAAGTAATTTTGGCTGTTGTCATCGTGTCTAGCTTTGCATGGCTGATGACCACCACTATCGCTGCCAGCAGGCTGAGATTGTCCCTTGTTTACAGGTCTGACTCGTCGATGCAGCGCTGCAGGGCAAACAAGAACCTGGAAGGTTCCGAACTGCCGAGGTTCGAGATCGAGGCCGAACCCTGAAAGTTCTGCCACCTTGTTTTCAGCCACCCGCCACAGTGTCACCCAGCTTTTTGCCTATGCGGCGAAGCGAGGAACAGGCTCAGCTTCCATCATCTTGGAGCTACGGCCGTGATACCATACCCTTATTCCACCTTCAGTTGCTAGTGTTGACGCCAAGCATATGATATGGAAGGGTGTTTCCCTACTGGCGGTATCACATTAAGCTTGCAGTCCAAATATGTCCAAAGTGCCCCACCGGCGAACTTTGCGACTGTCCCCGTCTTCCGTCCTTGGATTGCGGCAGCCTGTTTTCCGACGGCTTCACGACAGATGCCAGTAAGACAAGACTTGCGGCAAGACTCTGTGGGGCGTCGGCTCTTTTACCACCTTTGCCTTTGCCTGTTGCACCCTTGCCCGATGTGTAGGAGGAGCGCATTGGTCCGGGATCACCTCAAGCCGACACAAGCAAAAACGGCAACTGCCAAGTAGAAATTATGGAGACAGGAACACCAAAGCACCGAAGAAACCCTGATCCATTTTATGTGCAACCTGTGTGGTGACCTGACTTTCTCATGTCTTTCGGCATCTCGAGGTGAAGGGAAGGAAGGCGCGATCGGCAGAAGGAATCACCGCACAACGTTCCTTCAATCCACCATCCGTGGGACCGTGCTGATGGCTTACATATACAGGCTTCCTCCATCGCCTGTCCACACTTCCGCTCGCTCTTCTTTTGCTTCCCTTTATTCTATTCAGCATCTAGTCTACATACGGCCACCGCTCACTACTGCTTTGCTATTGCTTAACTACTGCTACTCCTACCACTGCTACTACCACTGCTGTTGCTGCTGCTACTGCTACTGCTACTGCTACTGCTACTGCTACTGCTACTACTACTACTACTACTACTACTACTACTACTACTACTACTGCTACTACTACTGCTACTGCTACTGCTACTGCTACTGCTACTGCCACTGCAACTGCAACTGCAACTGCAACTGCAACGCTACTGCTACTGCTACTGCTACTGCTACTGCTACTGCTGCTACTACTACTACTACTACTATTACTACGACTCCTACTCTTACTCCTACTCCTACTCCTACTCCGACGCCTAAGCCTACGCCTATGCCTACGCCTACTCCTACCACTTATACTACTACTACTACTACTGCTACTACTACTGCTACTGCTACTGCTACTGCTACTGCTACTACTGCTACTACTGCTACTACTGCTACTACTGCTACTACTGCTACTACTGCTACTACTGCTACTACTGCTACTACTGCTGCTACTGCTGCTACTGCTACTGCTACTGCTACTGCTACTGCTACTGCTACTACTGCTGCTACTGCTACTGCTACTGCTACACCGATGACTACTACGACTACAACTTGAGAGCTGGTCACGAAAGCTAGAAGCACGAGGTCCGGTGCTGAGCTCTGCAAAGCGATGTGCACGACAGTAGCGGAGGGAAAGTTTGGGCCGGTGAAGGGTGCAGGCGTTGCTCGTTCATTTAACTCTTGAGAAAGTAATGTGCGAACGACAACTAGAGGTAACTCTGGAGAGAAGACCGCACTTCAGTCGCCGAACGTCAGACACAAACAAAACCAAGGGACCTTGAGGAGGGGGGGGGGGAGGGGGGACCTCATGATGGGGGGGGGCCCCCCCCCCCCACCTTATCCCAGGCACAACCACCTTAAAGGAGGGGGGGGAGGGGGACCTTATCAGTGGAAAACGCACAATGACAAGGTGAAGGCGGGGGGGCCCCCCCCCTACCCCCCACCTTAAATCTTGGACGTCCCACCTGATAAGGTGCAAACCCTGTTTTTTCCCTAGTGCCTTAATACAAGCGAATTGCTAAAGGGCAACTCCCGCGAGCTCCACAGAGCTAGCTTTCGTGATTACGACTCTGACTACACAACCACGGCTGCGACTACCACTACCACTACCAGTAAGAGTACCACCACTACCACCACGACTACGACGACGACCACCACTAGTACTAGTACTACTCCTCCAACTCTTACTGACCTACTGGACCTTGGAACTGCCACTGCGACTGCTCCTAACAAGATGACGACCACAACCACTGGTACTTGCCCCTACGACATCGAGAACGATCGAAACGACGACGATTGTCTGGGCTTGCGACTCACTGCGACTCCGGCTACTGCCACTACTTTCGTAGCACTGCTTCCGCTAACGACTGATGCATCTTGATGTGAAACCATCGTGAATCGAGCAGTTGAGCGGCCCTTTGCACCGCCAAACTTGGCCGGGAGTTCTCCCCCCTTTGCATCCAGTGCTGCCTTGAACTTGGCCAAATTCTCCTGGACTAGTTGACATACTTTGTTCCATATTGCGACACTGATGATTGTCATTCACGGTCCGACTCACAAAGCATCCACCTACGGTACAGTGAACCTATACGAGGCCCATGGCAGACACGCATGAGCACTTCCTCCCGTGCTCGCTGGTGATCAACAATGGGC